CAGTGGTGCAGGGCCTTGCAAAAAGACATGCTGGGTTGATTCTTCCACAAGTCCCAGCAGTAGTGTAGAGCAGGGGAAAACTCCCCTGTATGTCATACATGCTGTCAGCAAGCCTGCATGTGATTTGGTCCCTAGTAGGAATTGGTGGCAACTACAGCCATCCTTGAGTCCATTTCATTCTTTATCTGGACGTCAACAGTACAGGCTTTTCCCCAAGTCTTGTCTGTCATATTACCCCCCCCTTTGTTCTTTAGCTCAGTCTTGTGATCCCTTTCAGAATCAACTGACCCAGAAACAGTTCATCCCCACCACTTCCAATCATTTCCTTCCCTTCCCCCTCCCACATTGTGACATCAAAAGAGCCTGATCCGGGCCCTGCAATCACAGGGAAAAGGATCCTGCTGCTCTGGTATCCTTGCGACATTCACATTTTTTCAAATCTCAGGCTCTTCCTATGAAATCCATGAAAAATCTTTCAAATGAAAGGAAGTTTTCATTTAAAAAAACTGAATTCAATTCTCACTCCTCTCAGGGAAGGCCAGAGACAGGGGTTCATCAGAGTACAAGCACCACTAAGAATCCTGGAATTTGAGAAAATCACTCAAAGGATTCTATAGAGAAGGAAATATAGAAATGGAGCTCAACAAACGAAGGCAAAACATAGGAGGAGGACCGTGGAAGATATTTGGGGTAATAGGACCCCGATGCTGTTGTCAAGATCCCCACAAGCACTGTTCATCCTCCTGTGCTGAAAAAACAATGTGAGTAAACCATCTGAGAATAGACTAATCATCTTCCAATAAGATCCTATGTGAAGCAGATCTAATAAGATCCTATGCAAGGCAGCTCAATTAATTGCAATCCCCTGCAATCTGGGGATGAGTTTATTTATTCATTCATTCATTTGATTTCTATACCACCCATCTGGCAGCCAAGCCCCACCACCACCAGCTCAGTCCACAAGCTACCCATATAAGATAGCATAACTTACATACACTTCATATTATCAATATTGAACTCAGGAAAAATACCCTCCAAACAAGGCATCAGTGCAGTCAGGAAAAAAAAAAACACAATACATTCCACATAGAAGTCTACTTATTCAGAACTCTGGCAGTAATTCAGAAGACTGAGTGCTCGAGAGAGGAACAATAATTAGCAAAAAGAGCTGCACAATGTAGTTAATTCACTTTTAAGAATAAAGTCCTGCATTGAAAGAGAACTCCTAATGTGCGCCATGGTAAATGTTTAAAAGGCTAAGAAATTTGGTCAAGAACATGATATTCTAATTACACCATTTTGAAACTTTTCTGAAGCCAACTAAGGAAACATTCTACAAATGGGCCCTTGCTTTAATTTTATAGGCTCCGGGTGACTCACATTTTCAGATCATAAGACAAAGATTAGCCAGTTTTGGAGTTTTGGAGCTGGTACATTTGACTTAATGATGGACACTGTTTTGAATGCAGTCCATCTAGGGAGTTCAGAAGAAGTACTGCTACTCAGAAAAGCAGCAATGAAGGGACTAGAAAAAAAAATCAAGGGTAAGGATGGGTCACCGGAGATCAAGACAGAGATCATCCACACTTGTATTCCTGGCTACCATGTATGGGTCTGAAAACTGGACGGTGAAGAAAGATGACAAGGGGAAAAATGATTCATGTGAAATATGATGCTGGAGGAGAGCTTTAGAGATACCCTGAATGGCCAGAAAGATGAACAAGAGGGTAGTAGATAAATTCAAGCCTGAACTCTCTCCAGAGACAAACATTTTGAAACTGAGGATGTTGTATTTTGGGCACATCAGAAAAAGGCAAGATACCTGGGAAAGACAGTAATTCTGGGAAAGGTTGGAGGCAGCAGGAAAAGAGGAAAACCAAATACAAGATGGATTGACTTCCTAAACGAAGCTGCAGGCTTGAGTTTGCAAGAGCTGACGAGGGCTGCTGGGGACAGGACCCTGTGGATGCAGCTCATTCATAGGGTTGCCATGTCAGAGGCAACTTGACAGTGTCAACTTGACTTGACAACAACAATCTAGTAAGAGTATAAGGAGAAGGAAGATCAAGCACAGGGCTGGGCCTGTCAGGCACAGCACTGCTGCTGCCACAAATGGAAGATGATTAAGAAGCATGGAATGAGTGCAGCTTTATGTACCATATAGCTATCCTAGACTACTCTACTCTGCTTTTGTTGGATCTCACCTGGAATATTGTGTCCAGTTCTGTGCAACACAGTTTAGAAAGGATATTGAGAAGCTAGAATATGTCAAGAGGAGAGCTACTAGGATGATAAAATTAATCAATTAATTAATTAATTAACCACCCTTTTAGTGCAGTGCACTATTCCAGGCAGTTTCAACAATAATGAATAAAGCACATAACTATCAGACTGCTAATACATACTAAGAAGTTAAAAACATTAGGCAGGTAAAAAGAAACATTGCACTAAAAGCAGGTTTTGATAAGATAGCAAGACTAGGACATAAAATCAAGTAGGGTTCATCAAGTGGAAGATCTGGAATCCAGGCATAATGAAGAACAACTGAGTGAACTGAACACATTTAAACTAGAGAAGACTGACAGGTGTCATGATACTGTTGTCTTTGAAAATGGAGCAAGCTCATTTCGTCGGTTTCTAATAGGTCAGAGTCAAAGTAATGGATCTAAATTAGAAGGGAGGTGATTTTGACTAAATACTAGGAAAAACGTATTGAGAGTAAAAGCTGTTTCAGCCATGAAACAGACTGTCTTAATGAGGCAAGGGATCGGTAGTCTCTCTGCTCATTAGATTCTATACAGTGTGCCTCTCAAAAACAGTCCCTAATTCTTTGCAGCTCCTATGACTTTTAGCCACTACCACTCATTCAGGCTTTTTCAGCTTAATGGCCATTGCTGCAAAAAGAGATTGCCAAGCCACTGGGATATGCACTGAAATTACTATCAGATATAATAGGGAATGTTGTCCCTTGGCTAGTCCAAAAGAGAATTCAACTACTGGGCGATTCAGCTCTTATTCATAGAATGCTGGAGAAAACCATCTTCTCTTTACCGTAGGCAGCAATATATATTGGCAGAGCCCTGATCGCAAGGCAAAGCCCTTCTATGCAATCAAGATGTTCTGTGGACTGTGCACGCATATTCTGCATGCAGAGGTTTCCTTGGTGTGAATAGGAATTCAGCCAATAACTATTAAGCCTGCACCTACTCACAGGCCTTTTATCTCGGCCACACCAAAATGAGTGACATCAAAATTAATATTATGTTTCACAATGTTCCATATCGAAGAAATCCTTTCTACATATAACTTGCCTGTTGAAGAACACTTTACCTTCCACAGCTTTTTCGGAATTTGCCCTGCCCAAACAAAGACAAAGCTTGACTGTTTGATTTGTACCTAAATCAAGCCATCCTATTTGCATTAGCCCTCAAGCCTCTCACAGTGTGTTGCATCCTAGAGGAGCTGCTGATAAAATTATTACATTACTTAGTACTGAGTATTGGCCATGGCTTCAAAGAAGTTTAAAATGACCTGCAGTGTGTACAAATTCATTTCTTAAAAGAAGCTCAAGTTCATGAATATAGGATATTGTGCCTCTGCATTCATGGTTCGAAATACCAGGAAATGGCTTTCTTGGGCTCACCGCTATTTAGACTGTGCTGGAAAACAGCCCTGACAATTGTTTTGTGTTTGGATGAGAACTGATGAAAAAAGGAGTCAGCTCCTGAGATTGTTCTGTATTTGGTGACACTTCGTGAATAATAGTGAGCACAAGAAGATATCCTGTATATCAGTGGTCCCCAACCCTGGGCCTCCAGATGTTCTTGGACGTCAACTCCCAGAAATCCTGGCCAGCAGAGGTGATGGTGAAGGTTTCTGGGAGTTGTAGTCCAAGAACAACTGGAGGCCTAAGGTTGGGGACCACTGCTGTTCCCAGTTGTGGGTCCCCAGATATCCTTGGACTAAAACTCCTAGAAGCCTTCGTCACCAGTTTTTCTGGCCAGAATTTCATGGAGTTGTAGTTCAAGAACACCAGGGACCCACGGCTGGGAACCTCTTGACTGCTGCCACTGATGTTGTCAACATTCATACTGCCCTTTGCTATGTAAAGCTTGGCAACCTTTTTCCTGCTGGCAGCATGGGCACAATATTGTGCAGTAATTGGGGCCATTTCCAGGCTTTCTGAATTGTGGGTACAGAAGCATAATATCACACATATTGGAGAGTTTTTGAAGAATTGAATTATTAAAATGACTCTAAGATCAAGGACCAACTAAGACAAGTAAACAGATGTTAAACTGCCCAAGGATCTAACTGATACTAAAGCAGTGAACTTTCTACTTTACCTCTACAAAACCCAATGCAGTGTTAGCCATTTATTATTTCCCTTCCTATTCCTCTGTTTTGACAGAAATAAAGTGAAATTGTGCACAGGAAAGTGACATAGAATGACATTACAGACCTGCCTCTCAGGACTTTTCCTGTACAACTTGTGCCTCCACCCTATTTATTAGGCATAACACATCTGCATTTTTTAAACTAAAATTAGGTTTAATCAAATCCATACTTTCTTTAAGGAAATGGTTATGCCTAATTGAACACCCATTTAGATTAGATTAGGCATCCTTCAGTCCTGAGAGACAAAAGTAACATGCTCTGAATAGAGGACTTCGAACAGCGTCTAGTGGGGCTGAGAAGGCCAATACGAGAGTGACAATCCCTTCCACACGGAAGACAAATACAATCTGTCCCCTGAACACCCGTAGCCTTACATTAACTAAGCATTATGAGAAGACTAGACATTTTGGGGGTTGCATCATGATCAAACTAAGAAGAGATTGCACACCTTACCTTTCTTGGACTACAGCACCCAGAGTTCCCCCAAAGTGAATGAATCAATTGGGGATTCTGGGACTTGTAATCAAAGATAGTAACATCTCCAGGTCCTGCAAAGGAGAAGACCTTTAAAATCTTGAAAGATGGGATTTAGGATTTGTTACCTTTTTCACTGTCTTCTCTACAAAGTAGTTTCCAAGCGGTATCAAGACACCTCCAAAGATGGCCAAAACTGCTCCTAGGATGGCCACCGTCAGCAGGCCACAGTTCTGGTTGCATCCCATTCTTCTTTAGAAATGTTGTGTTAGTGACTTCTGCCTCAGGGACCTCTGACAGCTTCTGTGTCCTGGCAACCCTCTCACCAGCTGGAGCTTCTAATATAGCAGAGGCCTTAACAGAAAAGAGATCGAAGTACAAAGGGCAGCATGAGCAATAGCATAGAAGATCATTTAGCATTCATAGACCTTTTTGTTGAAAAAAAAATGATTAGATTAAGCTCACACTCCCCTGCTGTATAACTAGTAATTAAAGTCTGTAGGCAAAAAATTTAGTATTTTTCCCCTATTTCATAATCACAAAGCAAATACTCACATGTAGTCACATCATTCCAGAAGTCAAGGGCCAATTGCAAACTATTTAAGACTGACCCATGTCTCTCTCTGTACAAAGGGAGTTCTGTTCAGGTTTGGCACAGAAACATCGGACAGAAAATTGATCTGAGCACCAGCATTAGTGGGAAATAGAGTTCATACACGGAGATATACCACCTCGCATGGGTCACTCAGCATACTATGGTTAAAGGAAGGATTTGTGTTATATCTGTGAAGCTTTCAGCTAGGATTGCCTGTTTGCACAAGGTGAATCAGACGTTTCTGCAGTCTTTGCCAAATAACCAAGGATCAAAATATGCATTACAGAGAGCATGTGATTAGAAGCTGCAGTTGTTGGTATTCTAGAGATATGATTCCAGCAGCCTTTCCCTTTTTAACAGTCACAACTGAAATCAATGTGCACACAATGGGAGATGAGGAAAACTCATCATCTGAAACATTATGTGAAAGTTTGAAAAGTTTGTATCTATGACAGTTGAGTATCTTCAGGAGTTCCTTCTTCTAATTTATGGTCTTACCATGGTCAATGGCTGACACTGGCCAGATCAAAACTCAGGAGTACTTGTTAGAAATAACCACCTGTTTGTAGCTGATTACTTTTAGCAGTAACGGAGGGCAGAAGTAAGTTGCACAACAGCTGTAACTCAAGGGATCTTTTCAGTCCTTTTGTAGTATAACTGTACTTTTCCAAAAATTTTATCGTTAACAGGAGTGTGGGCTCTCTACACAGAGAAAGATTCTCAGATAGCTCACACGCTGCCTTATGCTCTCTTGCAGTATGGTGACAATGAGGTGGGTAGGATTCAGCTATGTTTTTTATTTTTGAAAAATAGGAAAATAGTTACTTAAAAAAGTTAACTATGATCAGGCTCCTGTGCAGAAGCATGATCATTAATGATTACATTTTAATACTAGCCTTGCATGCTATGGGTCAGATCTGTTTTAACACTGGTATCTGTATGATTCCAAGAAGCAGAGCTTCCTTGATCATTAGTTCATCTTCCCAGAATAAACCCAAGCTTCGTGACACGCATTCATTGCTGCCTGCTTCTCTTCAAGTTCATGCTCCAGAGTCTATTGCTAGCCAAATTTTCTTTCCAGGCAAGCTTGGGTTACTATCCAGAAATCTTCATCAAACTCTCCACTGGGAGCATGAGTAGCTGAAATATTTGTACATCCAGGCTTCAAAGTTAATTTCAAATTTTGAACACTAGCTTTGCAATACAGATTCTCACCCTCCTCCATGTCCCTCCCCCACAAAGTATTTTTTACAACAAGGAGAGGAATGCCACTTACATGCTTCTGCCAGTCAGTATTAGACTCCTGAGATATTTCAGTGGAAGTTGCTATAGGCATGCCAACAAAACTCCATTTAAATCAACAAAAAAAATTGCCACTGACACCAGTTCCTATAAAGTTTCCTACAGCTCTGCAATAAACAGTGCTGTTCTTCTGCTCCTATGGCAAACAGATCCAGGCTATGGCATCGCTGTTCCAATCCACAAATGTTTATCCTGAGTCAGAAGAGTTCACGATCAACCAAGGTCAACAGAATGTTTAGATGGCTGAGGCACAGAGTGGCCACCAGCTTTACAAAAATAGATGACTACTCTCATCATGTGAGATTTGTGAGACAATGTCTTTCTCATCAACATTTTTCTACTTTGTGGTTATTAAAAATAGCTTATCTTATTGCATGTGCACATGATTCATGTGCATGCTGACAGGAAGGCATTAAACACACCAGTCTGTAAATAAATAAATAAATCCTAAATTCAGAATATTCATTATATAGCTTCAGTCACTAGGTGGCACTACAGATGGTGAAAGTTTTAATTTACTGTAGTTAGTTTTTGATAAGAATTTGGCCTGTTTTTGCCAATTTCTTCATATTTAGAAGAAAAGCATTTGGGACTTTTAGGAAGTTGAATGTGGGAAATACACAATGGAGGGGGCAGCCATTGAGGTGGTGCTGGGTAGGGGAAGGAATGGCGGTGGGGGTAGAACATGCCCACGTAGGAGAAGAGAGGTTAGATATCTTACATCTATCCCGTCTTCTAGTCCTACCCCCAACCAGATGGTATCAGGTGACCATATCAGCAAACCCTCGAGCCACACAGTGCTGTTGATGAACGACAGGTCAGTACAAAATAAAACTGCCCTCATCCATGATGTAATTCTGGATGAGGGTGCTGAGCTGGCATACATTACTGAGACCTGGGTGGGAGAGGAGGGTGGTGTCCCCCTCTCACAGCTGTGTCCGCCTGGGTATTCAGTCCAGCACCAATGTCGCTCGGAGGGTCAGGGAGGGGGAGTTGCTATAGTCTATAGGAGTTCTATCTCCTTGACCAGGCTTCCTGTCACTTTGAGAGGAGGTCTTGAGGGCCTGTATTGTGTGTTGGGCTTGCGAGACAGATTAGGGATTCTGTTGGTGTATCGCCCACCCTGCTGCATACCAACAGTCTCCCTGCCTGAGCTGACAGAGGTAGTCTCGGACCTGGTGTTAAGGACTCCCAGGCTGTTGGTGCTGGGGGACTTCAACATCCATGCTGAGGCTGCCTTGACTGGGGCAGCTCAGGACTTCATGGCCACCATGACAATCATGGGGCTGTCTCAATGTGTCATCGGCCCGACTCATGAGAAGGGCCATACCTTGGACCTGGTT